CCTCCAGCCCCGCCGCCCAGCCGCCCCCGCCTCGCCCGCACCATGATCGCCGCGGCTTTCCTGGTCTTGCTGAGACCCTACAGCATCCAATGCGCCCTCTTCCTCTTGTTGCTTCTGCTAGGCACCATCGCCACCATCGTCTTCTTCTGCTGCTGGCACCGCAAGCTCCAGAAAGGGAGGCATCCGATGAAATCGGTCTTTTCGGGTCGTTCCAGGAGCAGAGGTAAGACACGCCGCGTTTCTTCAGCCCATTTGGAGAGTGACGCGCGGCTCGCTCGCTTTTGCGCCACTGCCCTTCGCTCCAGCATTGCCCACTCCCCAGGCTGAGGACGCCTATGGATTTAACGTCCCTCGCCCGTGTTGCCCTCGCCCCCTTCCTCCAGTCTCCTGGGTTGGGCAAAGCACAGCGATGCCGAGTGCTGGGAGGAGAGGCATGGACGCAGATTCTTAGTGTCAGTTTGCTAAAGCCCCCGAGGGTATCCGGAGCGGAGTCTGGTGCTGCGGCAGCCTCCCTTCACCCATCCATCGCTTTCTTCATGGAGAGTTTCGGGCTCCCCAACTCCCCCAGAACTTTCCCTGAAACTTCTCATGTTGAAATCAGCTAGAGACTGGTGGCCTAGTAACCTCCCCGCCCTACAGGATGCCCCCACTAAATTCGAGGCGTCGGGAATGTGCCTTCCCGACCCCTCGCCCCACCCTCCTAACCCCCCAGGTAAGTCATCAGTTATTCGGCAGGTGAAGAACAGGGAGTTCAATGAAGTCTCATTTTTCTCTTTTCTCCCCAGATGCTGTTATGAGATCTCACCACTTTCGTTCTGAGGTAATTTATTTAGCGCGCACGCTCAAGGTCAGAAGAAGTTCTCTTTCCAGAGTACCAATATTAATCATATGCGTGTTAAGAAACCGGTAGGGCATTGCATGGCGGGGATGCTGTCCCCAACCGAACTAGTGCCCAGCGAACAGTTTCAGCACATTTTGTGTGTGGTGGAGCCGCTGGACACGAGGGGGAAAGACAGCTTCTAAAAGCACTGCAGACCTTACAAAACTTAGCCTCGGGGTGGCTCTCAGCGTCCCTTACAATCTGTAATGTGCCTGTGGAAGCTTCCTGGGTGCTGTCAGCTGGGGTTGTTGGCTCGGATATCCCAACAGCAGAGAAGAGCTTTCAGGAAGTTGGTGCAGAGCAATTTGGTCCCTATGCATTTCATTTTAGACTTTCGGGTTTACATTGCTATTCACTGGTAAAGCTCTCCATGCTTTCTTGGGGCTATCTGATGGTTTTTGCGAAGTGATGGTGGTAGTGATCGGGCTTTATGAGTTTCCAGGCCAACCCCACTTAGTGTGAGAGATTTTCCCCTTTTTTTCAGAGCGTTTCACACAGCCAGGCTTGGAGGTTCCTGGTCTCAGTGCTTGTTCTGGTTTATTCATCTTAGCAAACTTCATAGTCACACACCCTCCATTTACTTGTCATTTCCCTGAGAAGTTATTTCACATCTCATTTCACTAGTTAATCAGATGTTTTATTGCACCCTAGGTGTTTTATTGGACTCTGGTTGTTTGAAAGCTTTAACTGCATTATTATAACAGCATTCTAATGCCCAAAGAGCAATTCTACTGCATGTAGCCCTGGAGGGTGAGAACGCTGTGCTCAATTTAGGATACTTAAGAGACTAAATTAACCAATCAGATAATCAGACAGCGCATTCCTGGCTTTACACTAACTAGCAGTGTGGTGCTGGGAAACTCTTAGTTTCTCAGCACCTCAGTTTCCCCATCTGTAAAATAGGCCTAATAGTACTGACAGGGTTGTAGGGGGAAGATTTTGGGTTTACAAGTAATTATGTGAGAAACCCCACTTAGCCCTGCTGGTGTGGCTCAGTGGTTGAGCATAGACCCATGAGCCAAGAGGTTCCTGGTTTGATTCCTGGTCTGGGCACAAGCCTGGGTTTCAGGCTCAATCCCCAGTAGGGGGCGGACAGGAGACAGCCAATCGATGTCTCTCATTGATATTTTCCTCTCTCTCTAAAAATCAATAAAAACATTTTTTGAAGTATTTTTTTAAAGAAAAAACCCCGCTTAGCTCATAGTAGGCATTCAATACTGGTTAGGTATTATTACATTTTGTAAAACTGAATTAAAAATGTGTAAAAATAAAAATCTGCAAGTTTTAAAGTCTTAATTAATTAATTCAAGTTTATGGGAAACAACACAAACGGTGTCTATCATGAAGCAACACTTTTGAATATCTAATTAATTTAATAGAATAACCCAGATAGATATGACAAAAATAATGGTCAAGGTGCAAACATCAAAATTTAGGATTTTGATTTTAAAAAGATATATACAGTTCCATTCAAGTAAGTGATAGAACAAGAATAATAATCCTGTTATGTTTTTTTTAAGACTCCTATTTATTTTAAATATATTTTTTTATTGATTTTAGAGAGGAAGGGAGAGGGAGAGAGAGAAACATCAATGATGAGAGAAAATCATTGATCAGCTGCCTCCTGCATGCCCCCCTACTGGGGATCGAGCCTGTAACCCGGGCATGTGCCCTTGACTGGAATCTAACCTGGGACCCTTCAGTCCACTGAGCCAAACCAGCTAGGCCTGATGTGGGTTATTGTATTTGCCATCAGGTATTTCAGCTAAAGCACAAATAGAAAAAAATGAAATAGAACTGTGTCTTGGTTAGTTATCTTGCAGTTAACTAAATATTTGTCCCAATCTTGCATTTTGTTAGGAATGCTGGGACCAGTTGTTTATGCCTTAACTTGTTTCACAAGAATACTGGTACAGTCTGACATCCTGTGGGGACTTCATATTTGTCTCATCTGCTAAACTGTGAGCTCCTTGAGGGCATGGACCACATCTCTCTTGCGTAGGGGTGTATCCCCACTGCCTGGTAGAGTGGGTTCTTAAGAAATATTTATTGAATGAATGAAAAATTCTTCAGGTGTGGCAGTTCCCATAACTGGACAAATAGAACTCAGAGTTGGGCAGAAAATAAAAATGCACATTCTCAGGACATTGCTCAGAATCCAACATTTGATGAATCTCTTATTTGATCTTTCTAAGCTTTTAAAAAATTGGAGTTTGTATTAAAAATGTGAGTCACTAATTATAATGAAGTAGATTTGATTAATTTTTTTTCTCCTCAGAAAATCAAATGCAAAATTAGCTTGATTTGTTGATGGGCTACCCGTGTTCCTTTTTGTACCAAGTTCCACCGATAAGCTACTCTAAGAATGTTATTTTATAAGTGAAAATCCTGAGACTCTGTTGCATGAGAATGTCATATTTCATCACTGTTTTATGTTTACCACAAATAAAACATTTTCCCTAAAAGGTAACGTAGGGAATTTTTTTTTCCTTTTCCCTTTCTATTAGAATGCCATATCCTGTGCAATTTTCTCCTTGAGAAATACCTCTGAAATTTTTGGGTATTAAAAAATTAGAATGGATATTCTTATTGCCTTTTAGCAGTAGTTGCTGCAGAATAATTAACGATCAAAGAAACTTTTCATTTTCTGACAAGTCATAATCATATTGAAGTAAGAATTCAGTGTTTTTTTGTTCCTCATTCCAATCTCAGTAAGTAGATCATTCACGTTCAACATTTCCGTAGTGTTCAAGTGAGGAAAATGAGTTAGGATCTGCTGACTCATTTTGAAATGGAAAAAAGCTTTGGGAAAGCCCTTGAACACATGGAAGAAGTTCGATTAGCACTTTACTGCTTTACTTGGCAGAGGATATTGCTTCTGCTACCCACATGCCCAGCAAGGAGTCCCATTGGGCGGGAAATTTCAGGATGTTCCTTCCCGGATAGAGAAATACTTCTCCAGGGAGGAAAACCATGGCACTGGTTTGCTTTGGGGGAGTTCTGCAGCAGGGAAGAAAGCCACATCTCTCTCATCTGAGGAGCTCCAGCGGGTTCCTTAATGTGTGATCTGGGATGAGTTTCTCTCTATGCCTCAGTTCCCTCATCAATTAAGTGGGGGTAATCCTAGAAACCCCCCATGGGCAGGTTAGGTAAGATATCCAGCATCAGCCAGGGCTGGGTAGGGTCTCCATCATATTCACTGTGCTCACTCAGAACTCAGGGAGACTGATTTGAAAATAACTGCTTTGAATTCTGTAAGAGAAAGAGCTGTATGCAAACAGCTCCTAAACTAAGTACAGTCTTAAAGAGATATTTGCACACCCATGTTGATAGCAGCGTTATTCTGAATTGCCAAGAGGTGGAAACAACCCAAGTGTCCATTAATGGATAAATGGTAAACAAAACACGGCACATCCATGTAATGGAATATTATTCAGCCTTAAAAAGGAAGGAAATTCTGACAGGTGCTACAATGTAGATGAACTCTTCACTACATTGAATAAACACATTTCTCCAACTCAGGTTCTTCTTCTGGAAGCTAGAAATAAATAAT